CTATAAAATTGAGTATTTAGGACACACACACAGGGACATCATTGCTGTCATGATTAACTTAATATCTAAACTATTTTAAAAGAGGTATTGCAATAATATATTATTTTCCCTTATTGTCCATATTTATATTTGGGTATCTATGTGTTCAGTTATGTATGTATATCCTATGTAAATGTGATTATTAATTTTGAACGGTTGTCCTGATCTGATCTAAAATGGACGTAGTGTTATATCAACCAGTTGGTACAATTGCTATTTTTTATGATGAATGTATGATAAAAATAATGACAATTATAGTAGAAATGTGTCTTCAGATGTACATCACCTATCTAATTTTATTTTGTGTAATTTTGTTTTATTTTATGTCCTTTCATGCCTTTAGTATTAAACGATTGTTCGTAAACCTACGTCATATTTTAACATCAAGAACAAAACTGTCATCATCTTCCGCCCTATCGAATTCATCGGTTAAGTCGAGTTCACCGTTGTAATCACTGCCTTCTCCCATTGACTGAGAACTTTTACCTTCCATGAAGTCGTCTCCTAGTCCTAATCCTCCTGTCTCCGATGATGATCTAATTGCTTCTCCTCCTTCTTCTCCATTTTCTTTAATATTTACTAATCTTGGTCTTGCACGAATTGCGGTAGTTAATTGTTCACTTGACTTGTTTCCCTTTTTAGAACCATTGCTGCTACTATTGCTACTACTATTGCTTTCCAATACACTTCTTCTACTTCCGATATCATCATCATTCAAATAGTCGCCGTCGATACTATCAAAGATAGACGATCCCAATGTAATATGAGAACGTACATCACCGGTTGTATTTAAAGCATGATTTTTGAAAGCTTTTGTGACAACAGTTCTTCCTCTACCATCGACAGTAGTTACACCAGGTATATATGCGATTGGTAAAATATTTGAAGCCTTGGTATGTAAGGTAGAAGAACTGCTACGGTTTCCAGGTTGCATCATGTTTGATCCCTTTGATATGAATCCTGAATGTGAGTATTTAGCTGGAGTGGAACCGTATTGACCCTGTGTGGATGTTCCTGGTAAATCAGGTACTTCATCGTTATCTTCAGATAATAAGTCGTCATCATCTGAGAACAAGTCGTCGTCATCTTCAAGGTCTTCCAGATCTCCGTCGTACACGGATCCTAATAGTTTGCTCAATCTTTTATCGCTATCTTCTTTCCTCTCAGCATCTTTTTTAGGTTTCCAATATTTTTTATATAGGAAATAGGTTGCAATTAAGAATAAAGCGACGATTCCACCTACTACACCACCTACGATGGCAGGGACACTACCATTATGACCTGAACCATTATTTGAATTTGAACCATTGTTAGTTGAGTTTCCTAGAGTGGTGCTGTTTGTATTTTGTGCACAATAGGTAGTTGGACATGAGTAACAAGTCATTGGAGTCAAAACACATAATTCGTCGTCATTACAAGATGGGCATTCTGGTTTATCCGGGCAAACTACACAACCATCTGTACTAGTTGAGTTTGAGGAGGATAAGATTAAAGAGCTCATATTTGTGCTGAGTTGAGATGTGCTATGTGCTATGTGCTATGTGATTATAATCTTTTGTTTCAATGATTCCTCATGGACATGCAGTAATAAGTATTTGCCTTTGTCTTTGCTTTTGCTTTTGCTTTTTGTTATATTGTAGTTTTCAGATGAACTCCAGTTGTGTTGTACTGTGTTTAGAGACCTATAGAGTGAAGATACCGAGTGTTAGGAGGGTGTTGAGACTCATTAAACCGAATGGGTCACTACTTATCAAATACCCAAAGTTTCACATTTGTACTTATATAAATACAAATGTGAAACTTTGATTTGGACTTGGAGTAGGACTAGTATTAGGACAATAACAATAACAAGAGCAAGAGCAAGAGCAAGAGCAAGAACACAATTACAATTAAAGATAGATGTGTGCATGTACCTCCAAGAAATGGGTACGGTACATAATGTCTTTTTGCATCTTCGAAACGAGTTGAGTTGAGTTGAATTGTGTTTCAATTCCCAACAGTCAATCTATCGTGCAGAGAGCAGAGCATCTTACATTCCAGTCAGACAGACCTCATCGTTTCTTTTGGCAATCAGTGCCCTGCTCTAGGCTGCGCTTTAGTCTCTTCACCGTTCATTCCCACCATTTCTCGAAAAAACACTTCGCTTTCTGCGCGTTTTCTGCGCACCGAGTTCGAGTTCGAGTGCGAGTGCGAGTGTGGACGTGGGCGGGATACCAGATCTGGTAAAAAAACACAAAAACAAGAAAGAACGTGTCTTCGGGTGTGGTGTCTTGCGTGGTTTTCTTGGTGCGAGCGAATCTGGATGTTTTTGATAGTTTACCCAAACCGGACAAGAGCTGAGCTGGACAAGATAGGAAGACAGAGAGGGGAGGACATGGCAAGGCAAGATTTGGCCAGCCGGACGGCCTTTTACCTCTCGTGGAAGGACAGTCTCTTTCCCAATCGGGAGGAGGGGGAGGGGGACACAGATATGTATATGGTCACATGCTTGTCACATGTTTGTTTGTATTTACGTGATATGTGGGTTAGGTAATCATATTTGAGGCCACACTAACAAAGGACGTAGAGAAGATAACGCTGACATAAGAATTCAAATTATAAAAATGAAAATTATTGAGAGGATATCCAAATCGAAATGGTATTTGACAACTGGCTATAATTGTTATTTGGACCCCATGTTTCATAGCAAAAGAAGAAACTTTTGAAGCTAACTCTGTAACTTCTTGTTCTTATCCTTCTCTATATTAGCATAACTATAACCGATCTGTAAATTGGTTATTAAAAGAAACAGATAATTTAACTGTTGTCCATATTCTTGCTACCCATTATTTAATCCTTCCACGAATGTGTATGTGTAGTTTATCGTGAATAAATGAGGGGCAATCACTCTTAGGTACAACCAATTCATATCTACTTGCTTATACCAAAGCATTATTTACTTTGTTTTCTGTTAATACAGAGAAACCTCCCACTCGCAGAATAGCATAATGAAAGCAAGCCAAGACAATGAGTTACTATTAAAAGCTGATGCTTACACAAGTATCGTTAAAGGTCAAAAGCCTGTCCATAATTTCACTTCCCATGACAAGTAAGAACTAGTAAACACTCAGAGTAATAAACTGAACTTCAATGATTTTAGTAGGTTGGAACTGAAATTTGTAGATTGAATATTCAATATTTTATGTCAAATGTCTGACATTTTCAAAGATAACCTACTTTTCACCACTGGTTGAGAAGATCCATTAATTTACATTAACCTTAATACCCTTGATATAGAATATAAAAGGGAATATCTGGGAAAGACTTATAAGGAATGTAGAATTAAAAATGTTCTTCAACACTGCGTTTCTTTCCCAAAAATCCAACATTTAATGAGGTAGATACAATGCAAACTTTCTCTATAGATTTCATTCATTGACTCTTGAGTAATATTAATATATATTATATCCACACTTCTATGAAGAAAGGATATGTTACTGATGTTGACTACGATATAGTAGACTGGAAAAGGTTAAAAGAGTTCCGGTACCTTTATTATGGGAAAACACTTGGAATTTTCTATAAAAAAACTGGGAATCAGTAAGTGTGAGCTAATATTTCCTTAAGCTACTTGTATGCTTTTCAATATAGTACAATGTATTTCTGTAACAATAGAGGGTAAAGGTACTATAAAATATCTAATCATCTTAAGTCTATGTAAACAGCTTCAATCAATGACAGAACGTAGTCATGTTGAAATTGTGAATGATATGTTTTCTTGTCCAGAGTGTTATGGGTTTAACCTGGATGCTCTGTGATAACTATTATGTCACTAAAGTTTGTATTTCGTACAAGTTGCGTTTATTGATTTAATTGTAACCTAAAATATAGATGATACATCTATAAGTTTCCTGAATATTGTTATGACGTGATAAATAGTATTTTTTGCCCTTACAACATTTAACAGAAGATTACTAATATATTGATAATATGTTGAAATTGTTGATCATTTTTAATAGGTGACATATTTATTTAATTATATTTCTCCGTGAGGATTTTATATATAATATAAAATAATAATATAAATATGTAAAGGTAATCTTGGAAATCAAATTATCCTAATCTTGAGATTAGTGTCCGTATTTATACGTTTAATCTTCGATCTCACAATCTTATATTTACTAATCATTAATTCTAACAATTCCTTGCACTCTCACTCAAGTATTTTAGTTTATTGGTAATTTACCAATAATATTCTTTTTATTTTGTTTCTAGAATGTTCTACAGTATTGCAAACAATCAATAACCTGATTGTTAGTAATTACCTGATTAGTTATTGTATACCATATTAATAAATTGATTTATGTTACATTATCATAGATATATCTATGACGTCATGAACATCGTATAAAGTAGTCACGTGTGAGTGGAAATTTGTATTATTTGGCCTGTAATTATTATTTAAATGTATGTTTAAATCGGTATACGTTAAAATGAAGGCTGGTAGGCGTTTATTCTATAGGATCTTAAGGGTGGAGATCTGTAAGTTAAAGTAAATATACTTGTTAATAATAATAAAGTTCTATATTCTTTTATGTACAAAGTAAGATACTAAATAATATACAATAATATACAATAGTGTACAATGATCTCTTTAAATATCAATGTTAATAGCATGTAACAACATTCTTGTAATGACACTGTTCAGATGTAAAAGTAATATCTGATTGATTCATTTTGGTGATTGATACAAGATGTTTTTAATATAATATTTATATTTATTTCTCCGTAGTGTCTTATAAATGTAACTAAATAAATATATATTAATATTTTAGATAAACAATATTTTAGATGTACCAAAATGTCATGCCTTTTTATAGGTTTAGATCCAATCTCATAATCTCAGAATTATTAATTAATTATAATAAAAATAGTGATGCCTTTGCACTCCACTTCCTATGACATGATCATCAATTGCTCAGATGATCAAGTAGATCATCATTATCGAGCTATTGGAATCTATCATAATAATTGCTGTCAATAATATTGACAGACTATTTCTTCATATCATTAGTAATCATTGTTCATTAAAATGATTAGGGTTATAAATATAATCTTTCAGCTCATAAGAATGTTCTAGAACCATACAGATCTATAATCTATCTCTTAGGTCATATTGTTAATATTTGCATTTATGTCATTAGGGCAACAAATGTCATTTATCACGTGATATGAATAATCTGTATTCTTTGTTGTGAATTCTTTAGTTGTAGATATCTAATAATTGTACGTCGAATAAATGCTGTTATGGTATTTATTCTATTCGTCTATTTGGTGGTAGATTAGTACTGTTAATAAGTATATTTATTAATTAAAGAGTTCTATATCCCTCTTCTAATGTACAAAGTAAGTAAATAATATACAATACTATACAATTGTTTCAAATAGTAATTACTATTATTCTTTATAAGTATGAACTGTAGAGAATCATGTTGTGGTTTTTCTACCGAATCGTTCATAGTAATAGATTCTTTATTTATTTCCAAGGACATTCTTAATAAGTTGATATTGATCCCGTGTATTAAAGTATATAATATACACATGGGAATATAATTAACATGACAAGTGTCAATTAAGATCTTGTCATTTCTTATATAAAGTGTTGGAAAAGTTTTAACGTCAGAAATAACACTTTCGTGTAAAGTAACATTTCTTTATCCTATATGAATAATGTCGTAATACGTATATATCACGTGTTACCTCATAATTCTGACATGAACGATAATAACACTTATTATCTGGTGTCATAGATCTTACAATCCATTCGTATTAAACTATGTTGAACCAATACAAATCTGTAAACCTATATATGGAATTCATACATTTAGGTTACAACAGACACATATTTCTTTACTATCAAGG